AATATTGAAAATGGAGATATCTCAATAAGTTATGTCATTATAGAAAAGAATTAGAATCGAAAAGAAAAAGTTGTCGACAACACTTTTACATATTATGTACTGCATCATATTATAAATAATGAGGAATCAAAATAAATTCGACAAAACATATCGATTGAAGTAATGATTGGACAAATAAAATAACGCGATCATACTAAAATTGAATTTACCAGAGAAAACTTTATTAAAGTAGCATGAAATTTATGGATTTACAGTTTGAGCACCTAAATGTGTGTACTTGGGCTAAAATGAAAATGAAAAAAGTAAAGTCGTATTAGAATTGTACAATTCTTTACGTAATGAATTTCATTAAAACTTGTATAAATATATAAGTTATCATGTCATGAATGTAATCATAAGTCTTTACTTTGTTAGTCTAACAATGCATAAAATTTGATTTGCATATAATAAATGTGCCTAAATCACAATTCAAGTACTATTATCATGAGGGGGAGTAAATACATGTCGTACTATTTTTTACTTGACCAAGGTTTCATTCCAGTGGATTTTCCTGGTAAGGTTTTTAATGAAACTACTTTTGTGACGTATTCAAAAGAATAATATACTCTTTATCCTTTATTAGGATTTCTCCCACATGATTTTTCCTAACAAAGCTTTAACGAGACATATTCTTTTTTTGATGAATGTCCATAACATACAAGACATTCACCTTCAAAATAATACTCCTATATGTATGTGACTCCCGAAAATATCTATAAGAGCTATTTTTTGAATCATCATATTACTATAGTCGTTAAAGATTGATAAATATTTCGTATGAAAATGCTGATATTTGAAGACATAGAGATATAAGATATTAATATTGAAGTCATTGAGATACAAGACACGGATCGCTAGATATAAGAATTGAAATTAGGGGGAGTAATAGTACTTTTTTTTTTTCCTTTGATCAAATTTTGTTCTAATAAATTTTCTTGACAATGTTTTAACAATACAATATTTTTTATAACAAATTATTTGTGCTATTTTTTCATTTGTTGGTATTTTTGTCCAAATGGGTTTTTGCCAAATAATATTTCAATGAGATAGTTATTGTATAAATAATCATTCAAGTAGGAGTGTTGTAAATATAGTAGTATTTATGAACGAATTTTATACCCTTGCAGCCCCAGCATTATGACTGTTGTATCTCTTGTAACCTTAATTCTTCCCTATAAATATGAGATTTTGATTCTTAATAATACAGACAACTTTATTGATTTTTTTTCCTCTCTCTAACTCATAACAGAATAGTATTCTTTGGAGAATGTGTAGATAAACAATATGAATTTTTTTTTTTGAATTTTCGTGTAAAATATTTTATTATGTGAATATATGATTGAAAATGAGTATGAAAAATAAATTAAAGTAAAGGAAACTAAAGGCCACCAAATAAGGGCTTATTATGGAGAACGGAACCTCAAATTGTCGTTTGAAAGTAGAAATACATCTTCCTAATTTAAGTTAATTAATAATTGCCAAAGAATATTAAAAACCTACCATTGTAGGCCAGATTTAATTCGGCAAATTTCTGACAGTAGTACAAGTGCATAGAATATTAAAAACCTACCATTGTAGGCCACATTTAATTAGGCAAAGTAGGGGTGAACATTTTAACCAAAATCAAACTCGCTTGAATTGGAGATTTCGATTCATTTCCAAGAAAAAAAAATTGGAACCGGAATTGAGAACTGAGAATCGATCAGATCCAGGTCGATTTTTGGTTCTTGATCTTGAACCGAATTTGTCCTTTTATAATTTTTATTTTATTTTTTATAATTTATTCACTTTTACCCAATGACCCAACACAAAAAGTAGCAAGTTTGTAAGATTCAGCGAGTAATATATTTACAAAGATCAAGTAGTAAGTACCTAATCAATTAGATTCATTTATTTGAATAATTAAATCATTTCACTTTCACTTTGGACTACACCTTGTGCACTGCCCACCATACAAACCCTTCTCAAGGTACTACACATAGAGCCACGACTGGAATTGGACGATATTATTCTAGGTATTGGATACTATTTGGTGACATATTTGCGGTGGATTAAGAACGTATTGAAATATGTATTTGGTAGACATTTTTTTCTACTGTTTCTTCTAGATATCGGCAAAATAATTTGTGTTTTCAGCTCACAGTTTTTTTTTTTTAAATAATAATGAGAAGAGCCGAACCCAATCGAAATTGATAATTTCGGGTTGGGTTTGAATAATTATATGGATCCAATGATTCCATTTACGAAATTCTCGAACTATAATGAATGATTTCAAGTATTGAAATGTTCAAACCAACCTAATCGAAATTGATAATTTCGGGTTGGGTTTCAATAATTATAAGGATCCAATGATTCCATTTACGAAATTCTCGAACTATAACGAATCATTTCAAGTATTGAAATGTTCAAACCGACCTACTCGATGTTCAAACCTATGTTCAAGTGCTTATAAGTTGACAAGTCAAGCTTTAACTTGTACGATGTGAAAGTTAATTGAAATTGTTGGAAAAATACCTATATAACTATTAAGAGTAATGCTATTTAGCTCCACTGAAATTATAATCCATGTATATATGATTCTAATGCAGCATTAAATAATAAGTATGATTTAAGTCATTTTATTTAGCCTATTATTTAACACAACGTAGATTGCGATTATAGCCTCAGTGGGACTAAATAGCAATATTGAACTATTAATTATTCTTGTCCACTTCAAAGCCCATTTACCACAAGATATTTCTACAAAATGAGTCTTGTATGATTTTAAGAAAACTAGATATATCAATTAATTTTTATTATTTTGGAGAATTTCAAACAAATCTTGGAGTATTTTTTTTCCCCAGTTTCTCTTGGTGTACATCATGATTGACAATTTTTTTAATATTGATTTTAACAACATTTAAAACAATCAATTGCCTCCATTTTTACATCTCACGAAATGTAAACTATGATGTACATGAAAAGTGTACAAGTAAAATAAAAATTTTTTTTTTCTCTTGTAATACTTTGAGGGCTTGATTAGAAGTTTTTTTTCCTGCATTTTTGATCGATTTTGGGTAGCACCGTTTATGAGGGGTTGGAAAAATCGATTTTGGATAGTTTAAAAATCACTCAAAAATGATGTAATGTAATATTGACCATTTCTCACAACTCACAAAATCAGCTGGTTTTAATCGTTTCTTATGATCTCTTCTAATTTTACCATCTATAAAATAATTATTTTCAACCAAAAATATTTTCTTCCAAACTACTTGTAAGTAAAAATATATTAACTAAAAAATATTTATAAGCAAAAAGTAAATTATAATTAAAAAAATACTTACAAGTAAAATATTACTTATAAGATTAAAAAAATTACATTATAATTAAGAAATTACTTATAAGTAAAAAATCACTTAACATTATTTAAAAGTATAAAATTAACTATAATTTTAAAATTGTCTTATAAGTAAAAAATATTAACTTAAAATTTTAAATGAATATTTAACTTTATTTAATTTATGAAGTTAAATATCAACTTATATGAAAGAAAATTACCTACCGGTAAAATATCATTTATGAGTAGAAAATTCATATAACAAACTATGAACTGAAAATTTTATTAAGAGAGAAATATGTAATTTTATTCTTTTAAAAAACTTTTAAAACCAATCTATAATAAGCTCTCAATCATAGCTTGGACAATTTTAAAAATCGCTACTAAAATAACTCAAAATCGATCCACTCATAAACGCTCAAAACTAGTACTTTAAAAACTCTCATAATTGGTACATCGAAACTCCCAAGCTGGCCCTGAAGCAAGGTATGTTTTCATTGCTTCTCATCACACGAGATATCAGTAAGACTTCAACTAATAAAACTTAAGGTGGGTTGGCAAGTTAAGGTAAGCACATGAATCGATGGACTAATATAGAGATCACTATATGTCGGAATTCGAGCCTGCGATTCCCAAAGTGGAGAAATGTTTGGATCTACATCACTGAGTGTATGTGTGAGAGTCGTGTTTCTCAAAACATTATTAAACTGGTGCTATATTTGTCAATTGGCTTGACTGATTTTTTAACTTGTGCTGCTTAAGTGTCAACCACTTATTGGTAGCTAAGTGTTTAACTCGGATTGTGCTAGTTTGAAACAATGGAGACCGTTGGATGAGATGAACGACTGAGATTAATTCTTGGGTAATATTACCATCGCTTCACCTTTTGAGACTAACAGTTTTCCCATCTTCTGGACTCTTCGATTCTCTCTCTCCTTGGCTCCTTTGTGTTGAGTCTGTACTTTCTTCTTCTTGGATTGTTCTCTGTAATAGATCTAGCTAGTTGTTGAAGTGAATCTTATGTATTATTAGGCTTGGAATAATGGTTGGATTGTATAGATTTTTCTCTAAGTGTCTAGTGAGATCTGTGAGTTCGATTTGTATGGTTTTTGGTAGATCTTTTGATCGTGACCAAAACTTTGTTCTAAGTTGTGAATTGTGATTTGCACTAGTGGATTGGGTTGTTCCTGAACCCCCCCCACCCCCACCCCACCCCACCCCACCCCCAGACTAGGCCATTTGGCTGAACTGGGCGAACATTTTCATGTGTTCTTGTCATGTTCTTTGCTGCTCTTATTTATGCCTTTTAAATTCGATTGTGAAGTGGTTTCGTGAGTAAATCCCAACAGTATGGTTTAATTGTAGCAATCCTACTATAGAACAAAGTCTTAAAGCACTAATGCAATAAAACCCCAAGAAAATCTGTTACACTAATACTTCTTATTCAAGAACAAAAGGAAGATACAAATGCAGATGCCTTGAGTGTAAAAGTATAAGCCAACATATCCCAGCTCCCTTAGCAAAATGGAGCTTCTACGCAGTATAGGATATGTTAGCGTTATTTTCTTCCATAGTATTGTTGATGTTGTTGTGTGCTATTAAATCCTTTTCTCTACGGAAGATGCCATAAGTGTTTGTGTGATAGCTAATTACTTCCATGAGAATGAACAGATGATGCAGATCTAGCCGATACTGAAGCTGTGGGACTACCATCGCGCTCCACATCCCCAAAGTTGGCTTTACCAGTTAACATCTTTATCGCAATTTGAGCAACATCGGCAAACCATTCATCATCCGGTAATACGCTGCAAATCGAAATAATTTCAGATGTTTTTGGAAGATAAAAGGACAACCGACATAAACTGGAATAGACAAAAAGATTTGAGGAAAAAAAACAGACGCACACACACATCAAATGAATATGGCTAGTGAGATAAGCCATTGACATTAAAGTTTTCAGGTGAACTTAGTTGGATATTCGTATCTGAAGAACTTACCTATATGGATCTATTTTACTTGCAGCAACTGCTTCAATAGCTCTACCTATAATGTTCTTGATTACTTGATGCAGATTTCGAGATAAGTATCTCCCTTGAGATGAAAAAAGTATAACAAACTCCATATCCAGATAGAACTGTAGGATGATTAAAGTTTTCATTTCAGCAAGTTAGAAAATTTGCGTAAGAAATGAAAAGGGAAAAAAAAATGTTACTTTATGCAAAGAGTGAAAACACAGTGGACATGAAATGAAAACAAAACCTGTTGAAGCCCTAATGGACCCAATGGCTTTTGCGCTTGCTCAATCTCTTCCCAGAAGCTTTGATCATCAGAAATCCATAGGATGACAGTCTCTGTGAGTCTCATCAAAAGAATAGTTGCAAATCTCTCTCTCCCTACAAACATATCTGATGCAATGCTTGCAATCCGTGTTAGCTTCACGAATAATTCCTAATAATGATAAAAAGAATGTTAGGGCCTATGTATGTGTATAATTGAACCAATAAGTTACACATAATGTTTTACTAGTTACGCTAAGGAAAATGCAAGTGATTAAAAATCAATGAACTTGCTGAAAATGGTAATCAATAACCTGGTATATTGGAGAAGGGGACCATTCAGGTTCCTCTCTGCCTTCATCCAGGCTTAAGTACAAATCTGCACCCAGTCGAACACCACCATCTTCTGCAAAGATGAGTTCGAGGGCATGTTGCCTGCAGAAGCTATCTCTCAACTGATCAACTAAGCGTTGAAGCCTTCTCTTCAGTTCTCTTTGCTCGGGAGGACGGTTTTGTTTGTCTGAAGCTCTTCGCGGTGGTTCATCAGCTCTGTTCCACTGTTGTGAGGATGAAAGCCTGGCAGCTGCTCGTGGAAGGATCTCATCTGCTAACAGTAATGCATTGGCTAGCAAAGCTATCTGTTGGGTTTCGGACTCGGCTATTTTAACTATTCTGCTCCCAGACCCTTCCAAGTTTTCAGTCTCCATTGAACCAGGCAATGCATTTATCATCATGTTGACATATAAATTAAATGATTGAATGACACCTCCCAAAGCTTGCTCGGATAACTGCATGATCTCTAAGGGACCAACATCCTCGCATAGTTCCTGAATCCAAATTACATGCAATTGATATATGTAGAAGCTCCAGTATCAAAAGAACTTAATAAAAATAATAATAAGTTAGCACTTCTCAGTTTTTATTGCACGACTTATATATCCAATTCACTTTAGATATTACAGATTTGCCTGCTAAAGGGAGTGACAAAAAGGTAAATTTAATAAAGTCATAATGGTTTGACATAAAAAGGGCTTGTACTTTGTCACCTGAACCATTGTACTGAATCTGTGAGCACTGCTTGAAAGCTTTGGCTGCAATGTAATCATACTACCAAGAGATGCAGTGCTCAAGGAACGGGTACCAACAGGTGAATAAGTAAGTAACCAATCATCTGCAGCAGCAATTGCTGCTGTGCTCAGTTCAATTCTTTTTAAGTTTGCATTCAATGCCTGTTCAACGTAAGGCCTAAAGGTTTTCAAGAGAATAGGAGTAAGGGACAATCCACGAGCTTCTAACAACACGCAATGCCCCAATGATATTTGAACACACTCAGTGACAGATCTCAGAGCTCCTGAAGCTGCTGGAGAAGCTAGAATGTGTTTCTGGATAAGCAGTGCAAAAGTCTCAGTCTGGTTGACAGCCCAAGTAACAAGCTCAGATGCAAAAGCTGGCTCATCATCGAATATGGCTAAAGAATCACTTGCTGCCTGTGCGATTGTGCAGAAAACAAGCTGTGAAAGTGTAGTCGTATATGCTATTCCATGTGAACTGCCTGATGGGCGAAGACTCTGCACATTGCTTCGCAACTTTTGTTGGTGAGATTTGAGAAGTAATGTATGGGCGCGTGGACCATCTCCCAATTGTTTTAGAGCTTGTACAGCTGAACGAAGCTCAACCCCACTTATTGAAGGCTGGCAAGTAGCCTCTGCTAACTGATCGGCTAATTTTTGTCTCTGTTCCATTATAGAGGTTTGCAATGACAGCAATGTTGACGGAGTCAACGATCGCTGGAATCTAGCCTCTTCTGCTATAGTTTCGCCTTCATCAAGGGCAGCCAAAGCTTCATCCACTCGCCTCTCTGCCAGCAAGACTTCAAGCGTCTCTATAAATTGTGCCAACCATTTTTCGATCTTCGTAGGTTCACTGCCTTCGAAATTAACAGTGTCAACTTTTGCTGAATTTTCAGGTCCATCATACAAGGAATCAACACGAACTCCATCAGTCAAAACATGTATGACATTTGCTTGAGTTGATAGGAGATTCCTCAGTGTAACAAGCTGTCCTTCAAGATTAGAAATCTCTCTTGACGTCCTGCAAGATACGAACAATTTTTTTTTTTTTTTTGAAGACCGCTCCTCAAGAAATCAAGAGAGAATTTATAGTATGAAAATTGAAGCCAAAAAGTTTCTTTTATACAGTTGATTATAAACCTCATAATCATTTGGTTAATGATATCAACTTACCGTATGAAAGCAGAATAATTGGCATAGACACTTTTGCGCATTTCTTCCGCAGAAGCCTTCTTTAAGTCTACTAGGTAAATGCAGAGATGCCTAATTTCCTGGAAAATTTCGCAAATCCCTGGACATCATGCTTTGCACCATTGGATCACACAAAAGCAAGAGAAGTTCAGGAATTCAGAAAATTTTACTCAGATAAGAAGCATATGCTCAAATCCCCTGCAGTTCCTTCGAAATAATCTAACAACATTACCACAGCTTACAAAAAATCGCGTCCTAAACAGACCAAAAGCTCATCAAGGGGTCTATGAACTTTTCATCAATTAAAACTGAAACAAGATCTGAATTAGTTAACCATCTGAAGATTTTTCTCAAAATAACTTAAGCTGCGTCAAATTTGGGAAAAACAGAAAGGAAAAACCTCAAAATAAACAATATTAATTTATTTACAACGAAAGACAGTTTTGCACAAATTTTTGTGCCTGAAATCAATCTGGAATAGAGCAATTCATTTCACGTAAGAATGATTATCCTTATACTATAAATATGCATGGGTTATGAAAAATATGTACTATCGGCATAATATATACAGAATGAATAAATTATCACTGTTTCGAAATAATGAAGAAGACAAGATTTAAATGTAGGATGTTTTAAATTTTAAACAATACGGTTAACACAATTGTATAAATAAAAAGCAAAAACTGACCTTTTCGCTCATGGCTCGGCATCGGTTAGTGAGATATGCCTCAGGATCAAATTGTGAAGATTTGAATATTTTAAGCTTGTCACTGAGTGTGAGTTCTTGTTCGAAATCGGCCGAGTCTCCTTTACTTGACGAGAATGATCCCCTATCCATTTCTTTTTCCTGTCGCTACGTATTCAAATTCACTGCATGAAAAATCCCAGATAATAAAAAATGGAGAAAAACGCAAAGAGAAGAGAGTGGTGGGGGAGAGAGAGATCAAGTTTGTTCTACACGTGTCCCTCAAACCATTGTTTCGGTTTGATTTCTTCCCATGCTTGCCTCAATTGCCATTCATATTTTCTCTTACATTTTGTTTTTTTTTTTTTGTCAAATTTTTTTTCCTTCTTCCAAATATTATATTATCATGTCGAGAGACTGTCAGAATATAAAATGTCTTTTATTTTAAAGAATTAAGTACATTTCGAAGAGACTAACTATTTTTAAAGAGCATATTTCATATAAAAAAAATTAAATACTCCAATATACTCTTTATATTTAATTTTTAATTTTTCTATTCTCAAAAAATAGTTATTGTTTTTCTTTCTTATTTTCATTAGCTTTCCTCCAAATTATTATATTATTTTTTCTATTGAAAATTGAAATAATTTGGATACATTTAATTATAAAAAGTGGTTTGAACTTCTTTTTTCAGAGCATTTCCAAGAAACTTTTTAAATGCAAAATACTCTTCATTTTGCTTTTTCAACAAAAAATTATTGATTTTTCTTCATATTTTATATAACATGATTTTTTACATATCAATTCACCAATAAATTTAAACATGGTTTGAATAATTTAAAAAGTAAAATATTGAAATATATGATTTATTAAATACAATTATTGTACATTAAGTTCTTGTTTGATCCCAATTTTTCCCAAAATACATTTTTTTCTCTTCTTTTCAAATACACATTTTTTAATAAAATAATATTTCACACAAATTCAAAACTTTTACTTGTTTTTTAACCTCATATTTTTCATTAATCTACTATTAAAAAATGCATTTCACAAACAGACCCTAAGAATAGATAGTGAGTTTGACTCTAAATTTACTCCCTATTTTAAAAAATTAAAATAAAGAGTATTTTGAAGCTTATTTTTAGGGTGCGTTCGATGGATATTATTGAGAAAATAATGTATTTTAAATAGTGATATGATATGTGGTTAAAAAGTAAGGAAAAATTATTGATGTGATGAAAAATATTATTTTATTGAAAAATGTGTGGTTGAAAATGATTTTTAAAAGAATGATTTTGAATGAGTGTGTGTCAAACATGAGCTTAAGTATTGACTCTTTAAAATACAATGCAATTTGTGTTTAGCGCCTTTTTTAGAGATGCTTGATAAGTATATTTTATACACTTACTTGGACCTAAAAAATATAAATACTTAATAGTTATTTTGAACAATATCAGCATAATTTATTGTATATTTCATTTCTTTGATGAAACTCGATGAAAGAAAGTGAAAATAAATGAATGAATGAAAATTAACAAAAAATTGCAAAATTCAAAAATTTGGAGACTAAAGTGTAAATACTCAAAAATTGTATTGAACCTTACCATGAAGATTCGAGAATGATAGGGGTCAATTAAAAGTAAAAAAAGAGTAAAATATGATCAAAATATTTTCATAAATCAATTTTAAACCACACAAGTATGTTCCAAATTTTTAGTTAAAAATTGAGACCTATTTTTGACATAATAAACATTTGATTTGGAAAAAAAAATATAACAATCAAAGTTGTAGCATTTGAATCATCTTTTTAACGTACTTTGAATCGCCTTAAACAGATATTAGAAGAGAGAATTATGACAAAAATACTGAAGAATGAGCACAGTGGGAGTAGCTCGGTGCCACCAAGTGAGTGCATAGGTGCCCATTCTCGAGAAAAGATCAAAATCGCAGCGTCGCCCCGCCACCAAACAGAATTTTCAAGTGCAATTCATCTTTCTAAAAGTCCAATTAAATTAAAACTCTTCCAAAACTTGAAGAAAATATAAATACAATTTTAGAGAACGCAATTTGGTAGGAGAGAAAAACACATAATCATCAAGATCAAAGAACAAAAACTAGGGTTTGAAGATTTTTGAGATTGAAGAAGATTTTTGGTGTAAGATCAAATTCTTTCCATGATTAAGATTTCAAAACCCAGTTATAAATTCTATACCTTTTGTTTTTTTTTTAATTAATATGAGTAGCTAAATTCATAGTTAAGGCGAACAATGTAACCTATGTGTGACCCTTTATTTCTTTTATTCAAGATTCTTGTTTTTTAAATATGTATGAGTTGATTTATTCATGAATTTTATACTTTGAATTACTTGATCACTATTTGTAATTTATTATGAATCGAGAGGTGAGTATTATGCCCCTGTTTGGTGAACATTTTGGGGCCAAGAATGTTTTTTTTTTGTTGATATGATGAGAATGTGTGGTTAAAAATGAAGGAAAAATTATAGATGTGATGGAAAATATTATTTTATTGAAAAATGTGTGGTTGAAAATGAGTAGAAGAATGAGAATGAAAAAAATAATGTAGCTCAAACATGGGCTATATTTAGACCACATATTTCAGTTGCACAATTATGTTCCAGATTTTTAGTCGAAAATTAAGATCAATTTTTGATATAGTAAACATTCAAATTGGAAACAATATGGCTCTAGCAAAGTTGTAGCTCTTTGAGTTATCTTTCCAACGCACCTTGAATCGTCTTAAACAGATATCGAAAGAGAAAGTTATGACAAAAAACTGAAAAATGAACAGAGTGGGAGCAGCTCGGCGCCACCAAGTGGGTGCCTACTCTCGGGGAAAAGATTAGATTTGTGGCGTCGCCCCACCTGCAAATATGGTTTTCAAGTTCAATTCATTTTTTTAAAAGCCCAATTCTACTAAAACTCTTCTAAGACTTGAAGAAGACGTAAATACAACACTAAAGAACATAATTTGGGAGAGAGAAAAATACACAATCATTAAGATCATAGAGCAAAAGTTAGGGTTATAAGACTTTTGACGTTGAAGAAAATTCTTGTTGCAAGATTCATTTCTTTCCATGATCAAGATTTCAAAACCCAGTTATGAACTCTATACTTTTTGTTTTTTCTTTCATTATTATGAGTAGCTAAATTCATAGTTATGAATAACGCGTGAATATACCTATACTAATTATTGCAGTCATTAGATGAATTCTTGCAACTAATATTTCGTTTAACTAAGATTGATTTATATAGAGATATATAATCGAACTAGTTAAATAGACTAAATGAGAACTCGAGAGGGGTAAATTGAATAGTTTAGAAGAATTCGATCGAACACTACAATAGTAATAAATCTTGATTAGAGAATAAAGGGGATCCATAGATAAAATTGTAAGTCCTAGCATCCACATCCATACTTAAAATCTAAATTCGATAAATTGTGTACATTAGATAATTTAGATTAGTTAAACTCACTCGTTATTTTTAATATATAGTGATTGCATTTAATAAGTCATGGATTTCAAAACTTTACCTCTTATGTTATTCAAAATACATTTAAATTTATTAACTATTGAAATATAAACAATTATGTTAAATAAAAGAGTAATACTATTTAGCAATACTGATGTTTAATACCTCTAGGTGGCAGTATTAGTGGTATTAAATTACAAGTTCCATTCAATAAATCACATAATGTTACCTTTAATTGAACATATCACACATCGTCACATACACTAGTATTTTAATACCACTAGTGGTAGATAGCATTATTTTAAATAAAATATGAGGAAAAATCAATAAACAGTTCTTGAGAAAAACAAAAATTTTGACATCTAAATTTAAAAATGATCTCTATTATGCATATAAATAAAGAATCTATTGGAGATCCTCTTATAACAATGATACGAAAGCTTCTTCCTATACTTAATACATATCCATATTCTAAATGGAAAAATATATATATACTTATAATTTGTTTATAATGGTTCAAATTTAATCATCACTCATTTGTATTTATTTATAATTTAAATATAGCATAAACCACTCCCAAACATGCCTTAATTTCTAATTGGAAATTGAAATTTCTTTGAATTTAAAAATAATCTACAAATACAAAAAAAAATAAAAATCGTATCAATTGGAAAATACTAGGAATTATTTGAATGCAACGCAAAGTTACCTTCCAAAAGATCTATTCAGTCTTACGTTCAATTGTTCTTTCGAAAAATTTGAGACCAGAGGGACGACATATGATAGTATTGTTTACAATTTCTTACGAGGACAATGTGTACTGACAATCGTGGCAACAAATAAAGTTGTGATTGGTAAGTGGAATCAACAACATAGAAGGTATTGGTGAACTTGTCTAACTTGAAGGAGAATTGACCATACATAAGTGTAGTTTCCACACTTATTTAGGCCTTTAAAAGTGGATACTTGAGAGTACTTTTATGGAATTATTGCTTAATCTCGTGTAAATATTATTTATTTAAGTAAAATTCAATTTGAACGAGTTTTTGGATGAAATAGAGGGACATTTGGCAAAAAGAAATGTTTTCTGCATAATTCAGAGAATGAGGACCAACATGACTTGAATTGAAAGATAAAGAGTTTAAATTGCAATTAAGAGTGACTTGAGTTGAAGAGAAAGTTGAAGTTGAGGATCAAAATATAATTTAAATAAAGTTGAGCCTTATGATCGCAAGGAAATTGACCATGAGATCGCACTACACCAAAAAAGGGCTTTTGCAGCGGCCAAAAAACACTGTAAAAGACTTTTTGCAGCGTTTCTCCAAGTGTTGCGGATGTCGGTGTTATCGTTGAGCAAAGACTTTTTGCAGCGTTTATTCACCGTTGTGAAAAACTCTTTTGCTGCGTTTTTTAAACGTTGCAGTATACTTTTTTTTTTTACTGTTTTGGTAAATGAATAATTGACCCACAAAATTAAAAATAACACTTTGTGAACACAACTTGAACTTGCATAAAAAGTGGATACTTGAGAGTACTTTATGGAATTATTGCTTAATCTCGTGTAAATATTATTTATTTAAGTAAAATTCAATTTGAACGAGTTTTTGGATGAAATAGAGGGACATTTGGCAAAAAGACATGTTTTCTGCATAATTCAGAGAATGAGGACCAACATGGCTTGAATTGAAAGATAAAGAGTTTAAATTGCAATTAAGAGTGACTTGAGTTGAAGAGAAAGTTGAATTTGAGGATCAAAATATAATTTAAATAAAGTTGAGCCTTACGATCGCAAGGAAATTGACCATGAGATAGCATTACACCAAAAAAAGGCTTTTGCAGCGGCCAAAAAACACTGTAAAAGACTTTTTGCAGCGTTTCTTCAAGTGTTGCGGATGTCGGTGTTACCGTTGAGCAAAGACCTTTTGCAGCGTTTATTCACCGTTGTGAAAAACTCTTTTACTGCGTTTTTAAACGTTGCAGTATACTTTTTTTTTTTACAGTTATGGTAATTTTTTTATTCTGTTTTTAAATGTTTTGGTTTTATTTTTTTTTTTTTTTTTCAGTTATGGTAATTAAGTAATTGACACACAAATTAAAAATAACACTTTGTGAACACATTTTGAAATTGCATAAAAATTGATAATTTTATTATATGGGTTCCGGATTGCGTGGGTTTGAGAGAGAAGAAGCCATTTTCATTTTTTTTCACAGTGATGGAAATGAATGAATGGAGGGAGGGAGGCGTGAATAACGGTAGGGTTTAGGTTAATTTGAGAGTTTTAGCAACGTTTTCAAACGTTGCGAAAAGAATCAACTTTCGCAACTTTTGACAAACATTGCGAAAAGCGATCTTTCGCAACGTTTAACAAACGTTGCAAAAAATTAAGCTAACATTCAATAAACGTTGCAAAATGGGGTCTATCACAATAGTTTTCTAAAAAAACGTTGTCAAAACTCATTTATATTAACCAATTGCAACATTTACTTACTAAAATATTGCCAAAAGTCAATTTTAACAACATTTATCAATAAATGTTGTTTTTTTAGTGTTGTAAAATGCTTCTTTTGGTGTAGTGTCGTAAGTCAAAATATGGATTCGAAGAACCTCAATTGGTTGTGTCATACAATAGTAGGCAACTATATCGTGCGATCTCGTGGTAAATATTCTGGCACAATATTTTCTTTCCTTTTCAGTTTCAACCATCTTTTGAAAAGTAATTTGACCATGATTTTAACTTAATTTGGGATGCAAAGTTTGACATTCTTCATATAGGAAGAATAAGGATAGGAAGGTTCTTGAAAGAATAAAACATAAAAGAACTTGAAGATTTAAAGCTCGGAACTGAAAATCCAAAGCAAGAAAAAATCTAGAATCAATTGAAGACTCAAATGTAGGAATTCAAGGCAGGCGAAATTGCTTGTTTTGCTTTTGGGAGGTTCAAAATAGATTTAGCGCATTGTAATGAGCAATATAAAGTTCAATAGACATTAAGAACATTTGTTTGTGCCTTTTGCAGTCGTAATAGGTAATCTTGTGAATTAATGTATTTCTAAGTATTTGAATTTGAAATACTTGTTTTGAGGTGAATAGACCAATATTAGTTTTGAATAAGCCGGTTTAAAGGTGAATAAGTGGATTTTGGTTACAAATTGATTGATTCTTAGGCGATTTAACGATCCCTAAATTTTTTTGTTTTCACTTATAATGGGATTGATATTTGATATTTTTCGATTGAATCAACTAAAGAATTTTTAAGATGAATAGGCTATTTTTCTTCTTCTTTTTTGGTTTATTTATATTTTTTATTAATTATTTTCAAGCGTCTTGACCATTTTCCTACCCAAAAATCATGTAGTTCACATTAGAGATATAATGACAAAGACAAAATTTGTCGAAGAAGGTAGAGTTGTGCTAATTACTGATATGTCGGAAATAAAATTGTTATAAGAAAAGTTAGAGACCGTTTACTACTTTGCTCAAAATTTGGGGACGAATTGAGCAAGAAAATCCCTTTTTTTTTTTATAATCAAGAATTGCATATATGAGAGAATCAACGATTACAGACGACTGTCAAGCCAAATAGCTTGAGAGATAAAGTCCGAAAATCCCTCCCACCACATTTGAATGGACTCAACTTGCCACGTATGTCTAGCTAGTTCATGAGCTATCCCATTCCATAGTCTACTCACATGAGATATTTTTACATCCAAAAAAGCAAACAAAAGATGTCTAATATCAGCAATGATGGAGGCCCAAGGGGATAGGGTAACAGATTCGGCGTCATTGAGCTGGGAAACAATGAAGAGGCAATCTGATTCAATGATTAACTGAGAGATGCCCATCGACACCACAAACTTAAGCCCTCGGAGAACCGCAAGAAATTCTATCATTTCTGGATCAGCCACTCCCCTTTCTCCTTTTGAGGTAGCCATTAACACTTTTCCTGCTTGGTCTCGTAGAACAGCACAAATCCTAGCTTTGTGAAGGTGATGAAAGGTCGCTCCATCTACATTAAGCTTCAAGAAATCTGTCGGAGGAGCTTTCCACGCATAGAAGCTCTTTAAAGCAGGGTCCAATTGAGTTTTGACCCCTTTAAACAAATGTAGCATCGAAATAGCATGTTCGATTGTAGAGTTCATGTTCAAACTTACACTTTCATAAAGCTTTTTATTTCTACATAGCTATATACTAGAAGCAACAGTAAAAAATAAGCCCAGTGCCTCTTTTCCGCCCACTCTTTCAATCTGCATAACCACCTCAAATAAATCTTGGTTTCGGTCAACCTAGGATAATTGAGGGAGAAATCTTGTCCAATAATCTACCAAAGAAAGACATCTCAGAAATTTGTGATTGAGATCCTCTGCTCCCGCTACACAGAAAGCACAACCAGTTGGAATATTTATCTACTTTATGATCAGATTTGTAGCAGTCGGTAAAATGTTCAAACACACTCGCTAGGCAAAAATTGGAACCCTATAGGAATGTTTAAACTCCATACAGTCTTCCATAACTCCTTTAGTGCTTGAGAATAAGATGACTCACCTCTACTATTAGACTTTTGAATCTGCAACCATCGATATGCAGACTTCACAGAAAACTTCCCATTCTTTTCTGCTTCCCAAATCAGTCTGTCGGATTGCAAGTCTGGACTAATGGGAATCTGTAGAATTTTTCCAGCCACATTTGGATTGAAGAGAGTTCTGACTTTTTCCCAATCCCACCATCTCGTGTGTCTATCAATTAACTGATCAACTGTCATTGCACTAATTTCGGAAATAGCCATGTTTGTTGCATCTTGGATTGTTTTTGGCTCCACTCCAGGGATCCAGGAATCAGAACATATTCTCACTCATTTTCCATCTCCAATTTCCATCTGCAGCCCTGTGTAAGGATTGATTTGGCTTTCAATATACCCCGCCATGTATTTGAGGGGTTACTTCCTAGTTTGGAACTCAAAAAATCTGAGTTTGCGAAGTACTTTACCTTGAATGTTGTAAGCAGTAAAGTACCCTCCCCATTTAATAATCTCCATCCTTGCTTTGCTAGCATCGCTAAGTTAAAATCCCTCAATCTTTTAAAGCCCAAACCTCCACTACCTTTCGATTGACACATGTTCTCCCAACTAACCCAATGAATTTTCCTTTCACCTTTTTTTTGCCCCCACCATAATCTAGCCATCATTGACTCCAGTTCAGTGCACAAGCTGTTTGGCAGTCGAAAACACGACATGGAGTAAGTAGGTCACAACAACCTTAATTAAGACCTCCTTTCCACCTTGAGATAAGAGTTTTTCCTTCTAGCTTTGTAGTTTCTTCCAGACTCAATTTTTAATATCTGAAAAAGCTCTCGACTTAGCCCTTCCCACCATTGGTGGAAATCCTAAATATTTGTCAAAATTATTCTCATGTTGAAGGTGCCATAACTCCAGGATCTGTTGTCGATGCTTAGTTGCCACATTTTTACTAAACACCATTGAAGTCTTTTCTATGTTGATCATCTGCCCCGAGGCCAACTCATAGATCTTCAAAAGTGATTGCAGATTCTGGTTATCCTGTACGATTGCCTTGCAGACAATCACACTATCGTCTGCAAAGAGGAGGTTATTTATCATAGGGGCTCCTCGACACAACCTGATTCCACTAATTTTGCCCTCATCTTTGACCTTATGTAGTAGGGTGATTAAATCTTCGGTACACAGTAAGAAGAGGTAGGGTGAGAGTGGGTCTTCTGCCTTAAACCACTATTGGGGAAGATAGTAGACGAAGGATTCCCATTAATCAGCATCGAATAAGATACTGTTCTCACACATCTCATGATCAGATTAATCACTCGGTTATCAAACCCATAGTTGCCATAACCAGCTCCAAAAAATCCCATTCAATTCTGTCATAAGCTTTACTCATATCAAGCTTAATAGACATATACCCCTTTTCCCCCTTCATTTTATGCCGTAGATAATGAATCAGTTCGTATGCAATTAAGACATTATCCGTAATCGAACGACCGGGTACAAAAGCTGATTGAGATTCAGAGATAACTTGAGGCAAGATGCTTTTCACTCTACTAGCAACAGTCTTGGTGATCAGTTTCAATAGCACATTACACAGACTGATTGGACGAAATTCAGTAACCTGAGCAGAATATGGCTTCTTTGGGACCAAAGTCATGAAAGTGTAATTTAAATGTTGGGGAAAGTCACCTGTATTAAGAACCTGGAGCACTGCAGCCTCCACCTTATTGCCAACTATTGCCCAATGTTTCTGAAAAATACTGGACTCATCCCATCCGGGCCAGGTGCTTTTATTGGATCCATTTCCTTCAGTGCTAGTGTGACATTCCAGAATTTTTTAGTAAAAATTTTAATATTTTAGAAATGATTTAAAAATTTTAGGGACTTAATTGAATTGATAAAATAAATTATATAGAAATTATAAGTAACATAATATTATAGGTATGGAATGTGCAATTTCATTTTAAAAAGGTGTAATTTCATATTTACTTAGGGATTAAAGTGAAATTTTATAAGTAAAAAAGAAAATTTGCATACTTACCCCAAGGGTTAAAGTGCAATTTACGAAATTGCACTTTAAACCCTTTTCCTACACTATAAATATTGGGTGATTTGGGAGAAGTGGGGCACCTCTACTTCCTTTCCTTTTAAGGTATGTTTTTTTTTAACTTTCATTTTCTTTACATAATTTAATTAGTTAGTTAATTATTTAGTTAATTATTTAGCTAATTGTTTAGTTAATTATTTATTTATTTAGTTAATAATATAATTAATCAATTGTTTGGTAGGGTCCAATTTCTTATAAATTAATTAATTAGCTAATTGTTTAGTTAATTGTTGAGTTAATTAATTATTTTTTTAGATAATAATTTAATTAATTGTTTAAGTACTTAATTGATT